TCAAAAATCGAGGACCCAAGACTGAGGAGCATGGACAGGAGAGGCAGCAGCGACAGAAACAGACCCCTTTGTAGCAGAAGTCGTACCACGAGCCCGAGCAGCACGGCGCGCACGATACTCAACCAACTTTTTTGGATGCTAAGTAAAACAGTTCTCGTGACTGTGACCGGTCTTCCCACAATGCTTACAAGGATCTGGAGAGTCACCTCTGGGGTCATTAAGCCGTTGAAAAAATGTCCTTTGAGGAGCTGCCAGAACACTCTGCGATACAGACGGCAGAGCAACTGACAGAGAATGGAGACGAGTCTCTTCAGCAATCAAATCAAATAATGCCTGAGCCATGGTCAGAGTAGAGGGGTTATGAAGCAACCGTGTACGAATGGACTCAAATTCTGCTCTGACTCCCATGACAAAGCGATAAATAAAGAACTTCTCAACAAACTTATGCGCTGGACACTCCTCCGCCGAGCACTGAGGTACCATAGAGATCAATTGTCTCATCAAACGATCAAAAGCAGAGTTGTATTCATCAATGGACATGGAGTTCTGTTCAATCACGTGAATTTGTTGCATAAGGGTGTGTAAGAGAGCACCACTATCCTGAACATAGCGCTGCTGCAAATAAGACCACATTCCTTTGGCTCTCCAAAATGAAAAAAGGCTCATAATCATGGACTGCTTGACACTGTTGACGATGGCAGCCATCACTTTTCCATCATTAATCTGCCATATTTTGATTTCGGCAGCATTGTTATTATTGTAAGATATAATCCTGCAGTTTCCTTGTTAGTGAAGTGCAACTTCCTTGCACTTTCATTACACTTTCATTGCATTTTCTTTGTAGCTTCCTTGCAGCTGCAAAGGACCTTCATAGCAGCCCCTTTAGGCTGAATTTTCAGCTTTAGTAATTTCTAGGAAAGTGTTGAATAGTAGTTTTTAGTTCCTATAAATAGGGATGTAGTTTTTCATTTGTAAACCAACACAACACACAGAAAAACTTAATACTCAATACATTGAGTTGTTCACAATCTCTTCTTTCATCCTAAAAGTGTTCGTTTGTACCGGAAGCATTTTTTGCTTACCTGAGCAGTGAGCAGTGAACGAGCAGGGACTAACAATTATCAGCCTTTCGGGTCCATCATCAGTCAAGTGAAAAGCCAAACCGTAACCCCTCAACACGGTTTCAACCGAGAAAGCCCACTCCCGATAATTCTGACCATCAAGAGTAATATTGATAGCAATTCCATGAAGTTGCGACATGATTCGACAAACACGTAGTAACAAGCCGCGACGAAGTATGAATGGAAGCGCTGCGACGGGCAGTGTTGGAGCACACGATAGGCGAGTGACAACAAAAAAAAAAAAGAATTGACGACAGCCGGGACAAATGAGAGTACAAAAACCCTAATCCCGAAGAATGACGGATCTGAAAATGCACAAAACGAATAGCAAAAACGAACAGCAAAACCTCCCGAAACACAAAACAGAGAACATTGGCAGCACGAGCATCAAATTCCGAGTTCACGGATGGTCGCCGGAAAAAATTTCGGCCAGCCCTCACGCGCCGGGCGCGTGGGATTGACGGCATAACCTTCCGGCAGCACGTGTGACTCACACACGCGGCTTCTGACGGCGAAACTTTGCCGGAAGGTCGGTCTCGAGGCGACGATTTTATTGGTGTGGGAGGTGAGATCGAAAAGAAAGAGAAAAAAATATTTATATGTTAGGCTCTGATACCATGTTACAAACCTGAGGGTTTGGGATGAATAGAATGACGACAAGTGAGGATGGATGCCCATATATATAGACTTAGGGTCTTAAGTGAATATGGGCTGGGCCTATAATAGTTAACAGCTACAATTCAAAGAATTTTTAAGTTTGCTGACAGGAAGTAAGTTACACGAGAAATTGGGAAGACTAAAGACTGAGTGCAGGGAAATGTTTTGATTTATGGGAATAGATCTAGAGCCAAGGACTCGTGGAGTGGACCCATCAGCTACAATGACATGAGTGAAGGGTGTACAAGTTTGAGTGGTGGAAAAGATGCTTTGGTAACCTGTCATGAGATCAGACGCATCAGAGTCCATACTCATTTGTGCCCTTAGAGAAGAGACATAGCAGCCTTACAAATATCAGCAAATGCAACTATCGCAGGTGTTGAGGGGTTCAAAGCTGGGCATATTCCTTGACTTAGTAATCGTCTTCGAAAACGAAGCAGCATTTTTCTCGATCAGCTTCGGACAAGTGTGCTTAGTATGTCCATGTTCATGACAATAAAAGCATTCTATAATGCCACTGTCCGAATTCCGATTATTGTGAATGGTTGTACCGCCTCCTCGAGGGCCCCCACCTCGAGGACCCCCACGAGAGCCACCATGAGAACCTCCACGACTCACAAGAGAACTGGCAGAAGTAGCTGAAGTAGCTAGCAGTGGTGCCTGAATACGCGGTGCCTGCATACTCTCCGTAAGAAACGTGCAAATGTTTCTTGTAAAGAAGGAATGGCAAATTCAGACATAAGTTGAGTCTTGGTATCGAATTCAGGATGCAGCCAGGTCAAAAAACTAATTACAGCAATCTGTTCCCGCTGTCGTTGCATCTCTTTGACATCTGCGCTCAACGGAAGGAGTGAATTGAATTCTTCATAAACTCTGTTGAACTCCATAACTTATGCCGTCGGAGTTTTATCCTGTTGTTCCCCTTTGGATGGTCTTACACACTGAGTAAATACGGGAGATGTTACTACAACCCGAGTACAAGAAAGTCAAGTAAGACATTAATTCCTTGACAAGTTCACAATGATTGACTAATGAGAGGATGTTCGGCTCATAGAATTTTGAATATAGACAAATAGCTTTGCATCATTTCGGAGCCAGGCTAGTTTGGTATCATCAGTAGGAGGATCCAAATCAAGATGGCCGTCCTTATAAATGCTTCGCAAATGGACCGTAAAAGTTTTCCTCCAACCAAGAAAAATGGAGCCATTAAGCTTAACATCAGTAATTTTGTACAAAATAGAAACAATTTCAGAAGCAACTTTAGTATGAAATATATCACGCGAGATGAACGATAGCAAACACCAAAGCAAATACTGAAATACCAAAACAAAACAGAATTCAAAAATGATTGAAACTAAAGCTAAAACCAAAACTGAATTGCCCAGCCCGTGAAACATGAAACCGAGAAGAGCAGAATTGCGAGCAAGTGGACATTGGCCGAAAAAATTCTGGCAACGCATGAGCCTCCATGCGACGGCACGTGAGAACCGCCTAAGAAGCAAAGGCGGTGTGTGTAGGCCACACACATGGAAGGGGAGGCGAAAACTTCGCCGGAGGACAGATCTCCGGCTGGCGAGGCGAGCTGGGCGGGAGGTGAGACTTGAAAAATCCATGAAATGAGACACTAGGTTGGATTGTTTCTTGAAGAAAAAAGGAAACCCTAGACTAGAAATAAATTTATGGCTCTTGATACCATGTTATGAGCTGAAGATCTATGTATTTCATATATTCCAAAGAGTACAAGAGAGCCCTATTCATATACACAACTAGCAGAATAATAATACTAATCATATCCTAATCAAATCCCTTAATTGTAAATAAAATATATTATATTTCCTAAAAGGACTATTCTAAATCTACACAATATATACTAACACATACATACTGCAGCATGAATACAATTGGATAAATTCAGATACATTTTAAGCCTTAAACAAGTCCATCTTGGGGTTAAGTAATCAAAGAGGAAATAAAACAATTGCTGACATGCCAAATTGCAAAATTTAGGAAATGGTTTTAGCCATGATAAACAAACAGATCTTCAGCCATTTTGACTAAAAAATAGGTCGGGCCTTCATGGACTTTGCAATTTTTTTATTTTTTATTTTTACATGAAATGCCAGTAGCCCGGTACATTATAGGATGTGACATGTTTCTCAGAGGCAATATATTTACCGAATCTGAAAAGGTAAAGTAGCGACAAAATGGACAATTTAACTCAGAAATGTCTAAAGAAACAGTTACCTCAAGAACATGGCCAAAAAAACCCAAAGGCAAAAAATATGTCGGACTCACCATTGAAATGAATTCAAATTTGACCAAACTACTCAATATTACTTGTTAGAAGTTTATGCTTGTCCCAAAGGCCAAAGCGATTAGTTATTGGGTAGTTACTCTGCATAAGTTGGTCACCCTCTCCCTTTGTTGTTCTACCCAAGACAATTTATCATGGTATCAAAGAACCAGGGTTTGTTTGTTTGGAGGCAATATCCGGTTTGGACTCGTCCCATTTGGATTGCTACGGTAACGCGTGAGAGTAGGTGTTAGCATTTTATGTCTGTCACACATTGATTAGTCATTGGGCCGTTATTGTGTATAAGGGTGGTTGGACATCCTCCTTGAGCTAGTTTTTGGGATGAGTTCTAACAAGCCCATTTATCATTAGTCAACAAATGACTGACAAAAAGAAAGGAAATGGAAGTAATTTCATTGAGTTCATCATCTCCTTTTGTGTTATGAAGTATTTCTCCTTCCGAAAAGGAACATTACACCAATATTTGGTTCCAACAGTCACAGCTGCTAACTCAACCATCCATGTTGCCAGGCCTGTTACAACTAATAATAGCCTTTCTGGGTTTCCACATTAACAAATTAATAAAGTGATTTTTGGGAAACATTTTTCCATTTCCTAATAAGAAAATTTTTTATTTGAGTAAATTATGATCTATTCGATCCAATCACTAACATTTTGGTGCGCGACAGAGCTGTCGGAATCTAGGGCATAAAAGTGTAAGCAACAAGAAGAGATTTAATCGGTTCAATATGAAGCTCATGAATCTAACATTGAGCATAGTAGTGTTATCAAACTCTGCATTTACAGAACATGGATTATTAGGAGATTTCAAATTTAAGACTGTTCTCATAATTTTTTTTTATCTCTTGAATGAGGAATAAATTATAGACAAAATGTGAAAAAAGAAAATATAAATTTATTTAACTAACCATAGCTGAAGAATGTTTGATAATAAGAGGCATATGCTTGTTTATTGCTTCACACCAGCGTTCACTTGCTAAAGCATATGCTTTAGATTCATCATCAGTAGATGTTGGGATCTTTAAGTTGTACGATGGTGCAGATGAAATTGTTGTTGTTTTCATGTAGTCAGATGTAAATGGACTATCAAGAACTTTATCATTTGAAGAATCCTCTATTCCTTTAAAACCAGAAATCGCACGAAGACACTCATCAAGAACCTGCACAAATGGTTTTATATCAAGAGACCATATATGACAAATCAAATTCATAAAAGTTCTTCGCATGCAAGTTACAATGAACTACGTGCAATATATATACTTTTTTACCAAAAGCAGAACCAGCTACCAACATTGATATTCTATTCTAGGTCCATACAAAAAGCATACACTTTGGCTAAGCATATGATAAAGATTATATGTGCACAGTTCAGTCCACCTGATGCTCTTGTAAGAATTTTGTTGGATAATGACAATCAAACACATCCTCACCAGGTGAACAAGTGTTAGTTCACAATGGACCAATGTCGCACTTGCATGGTAACGGACTCAAAAGGATTGAGGATATAATAAAAGACGCATTGGGGATAGATAATTTTGAAACCATAAAAACGGAAATGGAGTTGTCCCTGGCTAGGCATTACAACAGTGGATTATTAGATAGATATCTTGTTTGAAAAATATCAATTACGCTGTGGTTACATGATATTGATATTCCATTGCAATCATACAGACTGCAGTCCATCCTAATATTCTCTCCGCCACCATTTACGCAACATATCAATGTACCCTTATGTACCCTTTCAGGCCTTGCCGTTCTCCAGATTTAAGATATTAAATCACATACATGGTGTGTGTATGAAAAAAATGCACATTGCCATGAAGATTGCTAATGATCCCAAATTTCTCATTTGATTATAAGAGTGGATACTAAGGACGAAAAATTTCTATGCTGTAAGGATGCTGGATCCACCTTGACTGCAGCTGTTGTGCCTCTTTCCTTAATTGGGGCAGCAGTGTTATCAACCTCAGCCCTCCAAGATTTCACAGGAACATCTGTACCCGAGCTTAGAACTCGGTAAGTAATTGAGGAAATTTGTTCCCAACACAAAGCCATTACATTTGGATAATTGTGTGCCACAGCTTTAAGAGCCTGCAGATGCATAACTTTAAATGTTCAACGTAAGGACAGATAGACAGTATAAAGTTATTTAATGTAAGTGATATATGGTGAAGTAGAAGACTGGAAACAAGCAACAAGCATGAGGAAGACTAAAGTGGATGTAAGCTGTTATGACAGAAGATGGATCGAAAATTCCAGTGACAAAAGGAGAGTATGGAAAATGAAAACTCTATAGAGCTACAACAAAATGCAGCAGTATGAAAGCAAAATCCAGAGAATCAAGGTACACGAAGTCATGAATTTTGTAAACAAACAAGTGCTTGCATCTACCAATCAAGGGCGACTTAAAACTTGACAAAGGAGATCTAGGATCACTTCAAACTCAATATTAATAGGACCAAAAAGTAGGCCACAATAGGGCTTGCATCAATCTTACAGGCCCATTTTTAGCTTCAACCTTATACAGCCCAGATCATATTGCAAGGCTAAATAACACAAAGATTATAACCAGATGCATATACATGAATGGTTTATCTTATTTCTTGTGTCAGGCTTACCACTTACGATACACTTCGAGGTAAAGTAATTGTTAATAGACCTTAAAATAGAATCAACACTTCATATTTAACTTTTAACCATAGAACTAGAGATACTTTCCAACAGAATAGCTACCTGAAATGCTTCTAAACTTGTTTGAGGGATTGATAATTGTTCAGAATATCGAAATAAGATATTCAGTACACCAGTCCTCTTCTGACCTTCAAGTGATCCTGGTAGATAATAATTACATCAAAGTAAACCAATAAACCTCAAAGTCCCTTGAGAACAGTTATGTTAATAAAAATACAGAGGAAACAAGAAAGATGAGAATTTTATAAGTAAAAAATACAGAATCGCTACAACATCCTTAAAATACACCATCATGCACAAGTATTAAAATTGTTAAAAAAAAAAAAA